GAAAAATTGGAAATAAATAACATTTTACTATTTTAAGAAGACGATAAGGTGCTCAGGCCGGCAGCATTGAACAGTATTTGAGGGTTTAGAGGTTTATATATCACGAACTGAGGGTAACAGAACCTACAAGTTTTCAGGTCTATTTTATTGCAGCCCGGAGGACCGGGCTGCTCTATACATATAAGTTTATCTGTTGGTGTATGGGGATTGGGGTGGGAGTAGTTATTTAGAATTAAAGGTTTTCTAAACATTGAAAAGATTGTTAATCAGGATGTTCTTTCCGTTTATAAATTACGAGATACATAATATATTTACTTCCATGAAGTGAATCTGTAAAAATGTATATGTTTTTCACATTTAATATATAAAGTTGCTTATCATTTACTATCGAAAAACGACAGGTCCCTTTTTTTAGAACATCAAATTTTACTTCTCGGATAAAAACGTACTCTGCACAGTTCATGTTTTATATTCTAAAATTGAAAATTAATACATTTTTAAATATAGGTGATGCGTGTGTCTAACTTCAATTTATATTTTATGCAGCCAAACTTTACTTGAGGAATTGATGAAGTTTAAAATTGTATCGTTTTTGATTGATTTTTATCCGACTACAAGATTTCAAAATATTCGCGACTATCGTCTCCATCAATAATACGCATTCCTTTTCACACATATCGAAGCGGTTTGATGAGCAAGACTCATTTTCATTGTTTACTCTATATATTTCCCGGGCGAACCCAAGTGAAATACTGTTATGACACCTAAGAGTGTGTATGCTATTTCATAGGCTTAATTTTGAGAGTTTAGTAAATTGTAGAATTTTAGATAAAGTATACTAAAATGTTGGATGAAGTATCAGAAAAATTTTCTACACCGATTATTGAGATTTATTTTTCACATCATGTTTGTCGCACTATTGGCATTTCACCCGCCTTGTTCACCCATTTTCTTTAGAAAAATTGGAAATAAATAAAATTTTACTATTTTAAGAAGACGATAAGGTGCTCAGGCCGGCAGCATTGAACAGTATTTGAGGGTTTAGAGGTTTATATATCACGAACTGAGGGTAACAGAACCTACAAGTTTTCAGGTCTATTTTATTGCAGCCCGGAGGACCGGGCTGCTCTATACATATAAGTTTATCTGTTGGTGTATGGGGATTGGGGTGGGAGTAGTTATTTAGAATTAAAGGTTTTCTAAACATTGAAAAGATTGTTAATCAGGATGTTCTTTCCGTTTATAAATTACGAGATACATAATATATTTACTTCCATGAAGTGAATCTGTAAAAATGTATATGTTTTTCACATTTAATATATAAAGTTGCTTATCATTTACTATCGAAAAAACGACAGGTCCCTTTTTTTAGAACATCGAATTTAACTTCTCGGATAAAAACGTACTCTGCACAGTTCATGTTTTATATTCTAAATATAACATTTTCTTATATGAAAATTAATACATTTTTAAATATAGGTGATGCGTGTGTCTAACTTCAATTTATATTTTATGCAGCCAAACTTTACTTGAGGAATTGATGAAGTTTAAAATTGTATCGTTTTTGATTGATTTTTATCCGACTACAAGATTTCAAAATATTCGCGACTATCGTCTCCATCAATAATACGCATTCCTTTTCACACATATCGAAGCGGTTTGATGAGCAAGACTCATTTTCATTGTTTACTCTATATATTTCCCGGGCGACAATTGATGGTTACATCAATGTTTTCTTGTTCTTATTTAATTAATGTGATATTTTTATCGCCTGCTGAACTGATTGAGGTCACTTTACGTAGACTCTGTCTGGCTGTCCGTCTGTTGTACATTATATATTAGGAACTCTTAGAGGTACACGTGTCTGTTTTTTTGCACATACATGTACACTGATCGGAACAATGCCTTTTGTAAAGTACTTTGGTAAAGAATCTTGTAACCTTTGAAATTGATCTACATTTCAACTTAGTGGCCACTTGACTTTGACTTACCTCGCAGAAAATACGCTAGATGGTTTACTTTAACAAAGATCATTTGTATTTTATGGAGATGGAGTTTTGATTTATAAACATTTATGAACCTCTGATTCAGTACCTTTTCTACGTCTTTTTTTTTTTAAATAAACGATATGCAATTCCTATGTGCGCTGCAATTTCATGCGCGGATCCATGAACCCCTTTCAAGGGGATCAATCTAAATAAAATGTCAGACACGAACTTTTACGTCAAAAAAGACTCCTGTGGAAACTGGGCTAACTTTGTTGAGGATAGAACATGTATATACTTCAATTTATTTTTTCTATTTCTGTTTTCCCCCAGACACATACCCATCCTTCCTATTTTACGAAAGGGTCTTGTCTTCTATACAGTGTAGGGAGGTCTTTTTACGTAACTTTACATTCTAAAACTCCAAGGAGGGATCCACTCGCATATATATATATGTACTTTTCCCTAAACCTACGTGTACGATGCAATCACATGATATCAGCCCCAAGTAACCACATAGGCATTATACTATTTGTGAATCGTGATATTCGAAAATTCAGACGCATATAAGTATTTTGTTTATACAATGAACCTCGATACAAATATCAGTGATAAAAATATGAAGGAGCTATTAAAATCGTGTATTTTTAATCGTTATTTTTTAATCATCATCATTTGCCATTTTAACAAACAACGAGAATAATTTTTGCTTTCCTTAAAATTTCAAGATCCATTTCTTTAAGTGATCAGTCACGCTTTTCGAGAAATCATTTTTAAACGAAAGCTTTCTCATCATGATATTTCTGCCAAGTTCAAAGTGATCATAAAAGTTTTAGAGAATAATTTATGTTCTTATGTATTTTCTACACTAATTTGCATCATAGTTATAAATTGAACTGATGATATTTTTCACTTTATATCAATGCAAGATGAAGAAAAATTACAATGAACAGTAATCATGTTCAATAGTCCATTGCAAATCAACAATGCAAATCAGAAGCAGAACAGACGAAGGTCCCAAAAATAAGAGCTGGGATCAGGTACCATGGAGGAAAAGGTATCGCCTGTAAACCAGTCACACCCGCCATGCGCACCCTGTCATGATCTGGCAAATCTCGTAAAAATGTAGTGCAAAAATATGGCCAAACAACTGATACATTAATGTTGAATTAATATTTATCCTGAAGGCAGATTATATCTCCATACAATATCATTGGTGAGTTTCAAGTAAGATGTTCCACCCTAAGTCCATCTGAGCTTTTTGATCGAAGGATAATGAAAATTATCCTTTTAACATTGTGCATTCAAGGACAACATGCGTTTTGTCGGACCCAAGAACCAAACTGTTTGCACCTAAGAATTTTTCAATTTGCAATAAACACATCTTACATTTTATCACCAAAATGATCAAGACACTAATTCTGTGCCTGATCATTAAAAGAAACAATGTACCCTCGCTTCGAATTTTCAAATCAAAAAGGCAGTCGCAACTTTCACACCCCTACTAATATTATTGTGATTAAAATTTAAGCCACGTGGTTTAGGTTGACCCATTCAAAGGTTATACGATAGAACCAGTTTTATAAATAAAATTGGCAGTAAACAGGAAATTGTTATTATAGTCTTTTTCTCCTGAAAACATGTCCTATGAAAAATGTGTTTCCAGGCCTTTTTGAAAGATTTTTATAATTGGGTGGGTATAAGGGGGGGGGGGGGTCTGTTAAAACAATATACTTTAATTTTACTCTCTAGCCACAGTTTTACCAAATCGCCCGATACCGTGGTAGAAAAAATGTATAATACCATCTACACTGACCAACCTTGTTCGCCTTATATGGCTGTTGTTATTAATGCGCACAGAGGATCTTACCACGAGCAGCTGACCAATCGTTGAATAGCAACGTTTACGTAAAATACATGTTTACATTTTACTTTGAACACGTGGTGCAGGTCAATCTATGATCGATATCAAAGGACCGCAAAAAATGTTCTTATGAAAAAATACAAAGATTAGGAACTATAAAAGTTGTCAGCAGCGTTTTAATTTGTTGTTACATGTAGAACTACTTTGAACTCCTCAGGTCTTATATTCTGCAGAACATCGAAAATTAAAGGTTCATAACACATAAGTAGGGGTGTTTCACTTTGGTATCAAGTTTTGTCATTTCCAGTAGGTGATATCCAAAACAAAAAAAAAAAATCAAAACATCGGTGGAAGAACTTTGATTTCTCCCAAAAAAGTTAATACTCAGTGCATAAAAAACTGCGATTTTTTGGGTACAGTTTTTGCCTTTTCGGAATTTACCGTTATTATAGCTCCATTTTGGACGATACGAAAATGAGCAGAATGAACACTATCCCCCCCATATGGCCATTCGACATGATTCAGATATTCTGACAACTAACAATTACCATAGCTCAGTCGGTAGAGTGCATCCTCAGTGATCGGAAGGTCGTAATTTCAAATGACGGCTAGACCTGAGTCATCAGATCAACAAGGGATGTTTTCACCTACAAAGCATCTGATCCCTTTAATATGTTGATCGATATTTTTTTTTTAGATCGACCACTTCGTTATCTTCACTCTTTACGTTTGCAATGTGTATCGGTTGCATCCTCTAATAAATCAACAAATGGCCAATATTCCATATACATGTACTGTAATAATTGGATTAGCAATGAAGTTTAACAGTTTTATTAAACATTTATTTTACAGCATTGTTATATGAGAACATTTTTTTACATTGCTCAAGACCTTATACAAGAAATATGACACCTTTAGACACATAGAAATGAAAGAGAAAAACGACAATCTTTCAGTATTCCGCATATTATCTGTTCTTTTATCTTTTAAGGAATGAACTATTTACTAGCTTTAAAACTTAAGACACATTGAAATGACGTTAAAAAAATTTAAATTCTAGTTTACAAGCAAATAACTACCATTTTATTTCGTGGTAATTTTGGGGGGAAAATACACTTTGGAACATAAATATATATTTACTTATTGAAAATTGTAAACGGCCTTGGCCTAGTGAGCATAATTATGGCAGACAATCATTAGCAACCCACAAACCACAGTCATTATCTGCAATCAGCACGGTTCTGTTTCTACACTAGATGTGCAGCCTGAAATATCACCTCCTCATAAACCTGAATGCCAACAAGACAGTTGAGGTTTTTTAAAACAATGTTTGTAGTAGAAAATATATCTTTAGTTATCATTTTCATATAATGAAATATAAAAACCATGTAAGAAATAAACGTGGCAAATAAAGGAATGAATATGCATATGCACAGTTCATATAAATATTTTCCGATAAGCTTAAGTCGTAAAAAATACCATTTTTAAGAAGGTACAAGAATACACAAAAAATGATGATATGCTAAATTGTGAGGAACATTTTTTTTAATCTAACGCCTTTTGTATGAAGTATAAGTATATAGTAAATCTAAACAGTAAACCATAAACTATATAGATTTAATTAACATTTTCTTTTGATAAAATCATTATGAAAGCAAGAATGGTTATATTTAGTATTTCATAAAATGCGCCTTGAGCCTTTCCTTAACAATTTACCGTAAAACTGCAGCCTACTCCCACCTACATCGTTGAAAAATCCCAAACATCGCAAAGGGCAAACAGGTGGTTCATTGCAAAAATATAATTAGTACGCTTACCGAACTTGCGTAATATAATTGCGCAAGTGTTGAGCAAAACATCACCCTTCCTTCGTAAATGATTTAAAACAGTGAAAATTCAACTGAAATAAAACATATCAAAATAAATAACACTGAACTTTAAAGATGTCCTGAGTAAAACAAAATATACAGTCAAGCCCTAAAAATTCATTTTTTTAAAAATATTTACAACAAACAACAAATCAGCTGTTGTTTCTTATGACCCGGTTGATCCAGTTGAGGTAATGAGTAACCTTAGTATATATACCATATTTTCCTTTCTGGCCACAGCCTTCCCCATAACTTGTTACCCCGTAAACAATCCATCGCTCTGTTCCATTCACAATTTTGGGGCATATGAGGGGGCCACCACTGTCCCCTGCGCAAGAGTCAACGCCTCCTTTTTTGAAGCCTGCGCAAATTTGTTTGTCCCCTATATTGTAATCAAAGGCTTTTCGACATTTTTTCTTGCTGACAATTGGCACTTCCGCTTCACGAAGAGCTTCAGAACCTAATAAATGTGTATTTTTCTGCTTTCCCCAACCCACGATGAAACAACTTGTTCCATCAGCAAGTTCATCGGAGGGCTCCGGTAAGCATGCGTATTGAACCATATGACTGATTTTTTCCGGTTTACGAAGTTTTAGAAGAGCTATGTCATTTGTGATTGTTTCGTAATCAAAATTGTTATGAGGAAAATCTTTTTCCAGCTTCATGTCCATTTCATTTTTGTTGTCTACATTTATTTCATGTTCGCCTACACGAACGATAACTCTCCTCTTCCGACCCCGACGCCTGATGCAATGAGCAGCAGTTAAAACCCAACCCGGGGCGATGAGAGTGCCACCGCAGTATTGTTCCTTCCACTTCGTTAGGATAGCGACCTGTCAAAAGATATATATAAATGTAATTATATATATAGCATGTAATTTTTACTTAAAAGATAATTCAATATGAATAGGTTCTGATCTTACAAATTCATATGTAGCCAAAAAAAAAAAAAAACACGAGTCAGATGTGAATTAAAAGATTACAAATAAACCCTTCAGCAATACGTTATTATAAAGTTTATAAAATGGCATAGAAAAAAAAACCCTTCATTAATCGATCTTTTGATATTTTGAATTCTGTTAATGTAGTTCGGAAAAGCATTCCTTTATTCCTAACCTGCCACGGCCAGCTGTGGGGGATGGCTTCTCTCCCCCCGACAATGCGGTATCCTCCCCGAGGCCGAACTCCACAGGTGCCCTGAGTGGTTTCCAACAGAAAAGCTTTCCGATCGCGAGCTAAAAAAACAAAACAAAAATAACCTCAATACCGAATTTACATTTACGCAAGAGATTCACTCGTGTATAAAGTTGAAGCGCGCTTTTGATTAATTTGATAAAATACAAATATTATACATATACATACACGAGGACTGTCCATAAAGTTTATGAACAAATGCTACAATTTTCTTGTATTAACAGTTTACAATAAAAATTTAAAAGAGACCATCACAAGGCCATCTTTAAAAAAAACTGTTTGGTTGCCCTCTCCCGACTGACTGACTAAGCCCAACTCAAAACTTTTTTTACATTCCAGGACACGATTTTTTCCTCTTTATTCCTCTAATCCCATCAGCAAATATGTTAACTTTTTCTACAGAATAAAAATTCCCACATTCTTATCAATAATTTTATCCTGAGTCGGGAAGGCGTAAACAAACATATCATTTGAAATATGGCCTAATTTAAAAAAAAATAGATGTTTGTAAAACACTCATCCCTCTTCCGGAATGAATGCAATTTTTCTAAGTCCAAGGGGCATAACTCTGTCCAAACTGCTCGGATCGTATTCCAGAACAGAACGTGACCTAGATATTCTTATGATAAATCTGTATACCAAATTTCATTTCAATATGAGCAACCACTGCAAAGAAAATGAAGGGAAACTGCAAATAATTGGAATTTTCTAGGTCCAAGAGGCTTAACTCTATCCAAATGACTCGATTGTACCCAAAACATAACTTCACCTAAATACATGTATTTTTTAAAGATTAATTTCTATATCAAATTTCATTTCAATATGTGCAATATATATTTGAAAACGATGTGCATGTAATACCCGATTTTCTTCCCCCTCTCTATAATATTAGGGAAACAAGGGCACCGCGAGGCAATCGCAACTTCTCGGGCCTTTCCGACTATAGCGAAAAAACGACCTCGAATGTATATGGTAGACGCCATGACAACCCTCTCTTTTCACGATCATTGAAATAAATGCATGGAGACCTTTTATCTGTGGAATATTGAGTTTAACTTTATTCAATGTAATGATATTACCTAAAATATACTATAGAAGGGACTTCTAACTCCGTCTATCATATATTTGAATAAACAGGAAATGTATAAATTTTTAACATCCGGTGATGTTAATACATTCGAGGTTGTTTTTCCGACCTCTGACGGAAAGACCCGAGTTGATGCGATTGACCGCGAGGCGGAACATCCGATTGCAAATACATGTAGCATATCGATCCCGATGCATATTAGGTAACTTTCGTTTTGTACAGCGCTAACTCACAAACTAACACACACGATTGCGCTACTATATCACCTACAACTCCATTGCGAAGGGATAAATATAAGTTACTATTATAGTGCTACTTAAAACAAACGTGTGCCTGAAAATTGTGACCTTTAAGGACAGACAGAGTGATCCCCCATGATCTGCAGGCGACGTAAAATCCATACTGTCCTTGAAGGTATAATCACGACTTTGATATGATATGTGTACCTTTGCAAATTACTTGAAATCACTAATTTGAAATTTACGGTGCTTTTTGATTTCTATTTCTGTTCTCCCTAGATATTATAACTTGAGAAACGACCATGCAAGATTTTTTTAACGACATTATCAAACGTTATTAGAAGATATAAAGTAGGTGCGCTCAATGGGAGGTCTCCTTCACTGTATAAACATGGCGGCCCTTGTGTTGTCTAACGCTAGATTGAAATTCCAAGGTTAATGATTGTATAAAATCGATAGTAATTTACAGCAAGTCCACGAAAGTGACAGAATCAAAGAGATGAGACTTAATAAAAGAACTAGATTTTTTTTTCGTCCTCTTGCTGGCTTTGTTTGGATATATAAAGTAAATCGAGATTTAATAACATTCATTCACTTCGAAAGAAAAGTGCAAAATAACACATTAAAACTGAACGTTCTCATTGAGATTTACAACAAAGTGATGCAGGGACTCATTCAGTTAAGGAACAGGTGTTTGTTCTTGCCCTGGCAGATTTACGAACAGCCACTAAAATAACTTAACGTCAATTATATTGTTCTTCAAAATGCTTTCCCATTTATTTCCCCTCCAAATAACACTCTTTTTTATTGTCACGTATAGATAGCTTTAGTAATCTAAAACGAACAAAGGCATGGAAAAGAGGTAGAGATTATGACAGTGTGTGTATTTATGTTGCCTCTCGCTATTCCAAAAATGATATTAGCAATTCTTTCTACGAGAAATATTACTAATCAAGGCCATCTTTATGACCTTGACTTTGCAATGTACTTTACGTAAAAGCTAATTGCATTGTCAAGAGGAATTATCGAATTAAGCATTGATTCGACCTTCTGTTCAGTTTCTAGGGAGGCACATACCACAATAGGCAGCATTGTATATCCTTCCTGATCTCGATTAACCTATAGCACGGGAACCTAGGATTACAGCTGACACTAGCAGAACCTTATGGATTTGTTTTAAGGAATAACAAGATTAAGGCGACCGTATACGTAGAAGACAATCTTATTTAGTTTGGTTGAATGTTTTAATGATCGTGAAATTGTGTAAAATAGCGGCTAGACAATGCCACTTTTTGGCATTGTACTTTGTAGATACATAGATAGCACATGACTCAAAATGCTTGGTTTTGGTTTTTGGCCGAATTTTAATTTCCCAGATCTGGCAAATCTATTACATGACCATTTTAAATGCATTACCAACTTTTTAAAACCATTTCTTATTTTAGAAATAGAGAAACGACTTGACAGTTAAACATCGAATACAAAAATTTTAATTCTAGATGATTTATGAGTGATCCCGAGTGCACAGAGCTTAAAAGAGCTACGGAATTCAAGTGCATACCTTGAAAATTTTGTAAAGCGAATCAGTATTTTGAATTTAAACAATCTTAAAACTGAAAGAGATATATTTTAAATGATGTAAAAAAATCAATCGGCCTAATTTACCAAAAAAATGAAATTATCCTTAAAGATCAGGATGCCAATATTAATGGGGGACCTATAACGGTTAAATTTTGAACAGGTCGTCGGCAGTCAGTACTTCGATAAACGACCATAATCTAGATCTACAGGATCATTGAACTGTGTGTAGTACCAACGTCTGATTCTTCAGATTCAGACAATGACTTTTCCAATGACTTTTATTTCTTTGTCGTATCATCTTCAGCCCTTTTACATCGGTGACGGCATCGGTACTTTTGTTAACAACATTCCTTAGTGCTGCGTGTCCCCACACAGGGTGTCTCGATCAATAAAATAAATCGAACCTATCTGTGAATATCAATTATTTTATCGAAAGAAATTGTTTTAGAGATTAAGTGTCTATTGAAAAAGACCCCTTCAGCTGCAGGTATCGCCAATTCTTTAACACCATAACAACCTGTAATAGTTTACTACAATAGACACTCGTCTACAAATTTATTACTCTGTTTAACAATACCTTAAGCAAATTATGAAATTCAGCATTTCATTATCCGAGAAATCGATTTCCGTGGGTACAAAAATGTCACCTTTTTTCCCATAGGACAAAAATGTATAAAATATAACTTTTAAAATAGATCCATCTTGAAATGAATATTTTACGATTGTAATTGCCAGGAGGATATGAATTTATGAATGATTAATGTATCACTGAAAGATCCCTGCGCCGCAATACGCTCCCATACGCTAGACCAGTAGGTAAGAACTCTGCACCACAATTAGGGCTGTATCAATATATCAATATATCGATACGTATCGATATTCAAGGAGCATATGGTATCGAAAAATAACTTCCAATACGTATCGGGCAGACATTTTTCTTCTAATTCTGTGAAAAAAGATGGGAATTTTAATCACTAAACATTAAATTTAACTTTTTTAAAATTGAAACTGACCAAAAAATTATAATCATTAAGGACATAGCACAAGTTATATGATTATTAAAAAATACATAGATAATTTTATTTTAATATGCTGATTTTTCAGTCATTTAAAGTTTTAATTTGAAGTGTTATTTGTAGTAGCATTGAGGCTAGAACTTTGAAATAGATTATAAAACATTTAGTTTTTATGAAATTCATGCATTAAATGACTTTATAAGACTATTTTGATGGACTTGTTTAAGAATCCAATATATCGCATATCGCTTTAAAAAATATTGTATCGTATCGTATCGAAATTTTTTGCTCAATACACAGCCCTAGCCACAATACGCTCTCATACGCCAGACCAGTAGGTGAGATCCCTGCGCCACAATACGCTCGGGGACCGTATGCCAATATAGGTCATAGTACATTCGGCCGTCTTCTTTAAAAGAGTAAAACTTACGTACTACATGTATGCTAACCTTACGCGCCAAAGTAAAAATTAATATGAAAGAAAGGTTATAATGCCATTACTAAAGACGATACAAGTTTGTTACCACTCCAAAGCGCCAGATCCTACTTATGATGTTTCCAAGGGTCAATTTTTTGCCATGCAATTCACACTTTGTACTGTGTTATAATGAAAAGACGACTAAAATATACTTTCAGATTCAAAGAATTTAATGTATGAGTCTGTCCAGACGATTATCTTATCGAAAAAAGTAACTGCTTCGACGCGAAGCTGTTAAGTTTACTGAACCCATTTCGGGGTAGTCATGGTAGTGAGAGAGGTGGAACTTCATCTGGAAGCGAGTATAAAACTTACTGTGTAGGTAGCACAATAAGAAAAGAATATTCGGTTGCCCGCCTTAATATGCAGTGATGAGCGCAATAGTGATTCGCAGAGTAAGACTGGTAATGTACTAGTATTTGCTTCTCTTCGAAAAGGGTTCACTCATTGGAAGAGCTGCATATTTGATGCTTCTTGCCTGAAGGCAGTATGGGGAATTTTTTCAGATTCTACTGAGAAAGGGCTATAATATTGTCTGAAAGATCGGTCTCCAGACCACGCCTGGAATTCGAACTCACAGCACAAGCATTTATTCCTCACTTAGGGACTCTTCAACGATGCAAACCTTTTTTTATATAGAAAACTTTGAATGATAAACCTTTGATCAATGGGTATAACTTGTATTTATAACCATAACCGTGCACTGATTATCTGTAAAGTTAACAAATTTATTCTTATGAGCTTGACCTGGACAGATTTGAAAGCAAGTAGGTATAGAAAGGTTTTCCGTTAAAAAAATTCAGTTTTCATTTTACTAATATCGAGCTAAAATGACAATGACAAAGTCAAAACCTATAGTAGTACCTCGTCTTGATTTATCCGTGTGTGAAGCTCGAAGCTAAACAACAGTTTATCGGATATTTTGACATATACAGACTGACGGACAGACAACACAAATCAAGCCAAACAAAGTTTGGTTATCATTAATTACATGTATATTAGTGCAAAAATTCCATTGCCGAGAAAATCCGACACAACCTCATTTTACTTGAAAACTGTTGCTCTAATTTATGAAATTTACTTCGTACAACTTGATATATTTTACAAAGATTTATACACATGTAGCTATGATAAACGGAAGCAAATTTCGCTAGTGTTGAAGAAGGGTTTCTAGTCTAAATCTGTCCGATCGTGAGTTATGTTCCTTGCGTATAAAGGCATCTGACAGACAAGTTCATCCCCAATATAAATGTTCATTCCAATAAAACCTGAATTTGTGCTGGCACTATATATATAGTATTATAGCGTACGGATACTTTGTAGCTATTACATTAAAGTTGTACGGAATAAGCGGTAAAAGAGTGCCACACAAATTAGGTCAAGTGGGTTTATAAGAACCACGTGATATTACACGGACAGACCCACTGACACATGTTTATATGAACAGTGTCTGACATGAATTTGTATACATATAGAACGAGCCAGGAATTCAGCATCTATTGAGATTGGCTTACGATAAGTGAACGCGTTTGAATGTATATATATTAAAATGAGTATGGTGTCATTGGACTTTTTTCCAGATATATCCGTAATGTGTAAAAGTAATCTTGTACTCTGTATTGTAACATAACGCAGGCCCAACCTTTCAGACATTAACAGGCTCTCTGAGGTTATAACCCTCACCTGGATACCTCTGTGTAAATCATTAATTAAAAATGTTTCCGCTGCACAGACAGGTGAAAGAACCTAGGTATTTTTGACAAAGTACTTTATGATTTACCCATTCCAATTACTTTACGTAATTTACTAGGTACATCTGTACATTTAGTGTAATAAACATATACCCCGGTATTTGGCATTCCATGTATATCTGCTCTGATACATATAATATAAAAGTGAAGCAACAATTATTGTTTGCGTAGAGTACACCGAATCCGGAGATTTAATTTACGTTCCCCATGAATGTCGATAGAAATGCTAAAATGCATATATATCTTCCATGCAATAATTTTATAAGGATTTTTTTTATCAACAAATCACAATTGAAAGCATTGAAAATCCCAAGTATTCTGAATCGGAGAACACTCTTGTCAGTGGTAATTATACTTTATTAATCGATTGCTAATCGACATGATATATCTTTTTGGCCGGGGAATATAATGACAATCATAAATGTCAAAACTGCTTCTTTTATTTTTGGATATAAATTCAATTTTCCACATAAACAGAAACTGGTATCACGACATTTTCCGAAGAAGTGTACTTAATGGAAACAATTAAATCATTCCTTAAGCTTATTTATTTAACATTTCGTGTTACTGCTGCTTGTCAGAAGATAACCTATTGTTCTAGCCTCAAGGTCCAAATCTGTAAGGACTGCTGAATTTGTTTTTCCTTATACAGTACAATAACTTATTTTGAGTCATTTATGGATGTAAGTGAATTTAACGGAAGTTAGGCAGTAAATTTCTTAGAGCTGACCATCTTTTTTTAGCTCTACTGGTCAGAGACCAGAAGAGCTTATGCGATAGTAAGGTGTCCGTCGTCCGTCCGTCTGTCTGTCTGTCCGTCTGTACTTTTTCAAAACGCTACTCCTCCTACAGTTTTGGTCTGATTTCAATATTACTTGGCACACAAGAAGAATACACTAAGCCATCGGTTTTTGATTTCGGTGAAAGGTGTTGCCATGGTTACTAAAAATAGAATTTTCTTTGAAATTCTTTTAAAATGCTTCTCCTCCTACAGTTTTGGTCTGATTTCAGTATTACTTGGCACACAAGTAGAATACACTAAGATACATAAAATAGTGCATCGGTTTTTGATTTCGGTGAATGGTGTTGCCATCGTTACTAAAAATAGAATTTTCTTTGAAATTCCTTTAAAACGCTACTCCTCCTACAGGTTTGGTCTGATTTCAATATTACTTGGCACACAAGTAGACTACACTAAGACACATAAAATAGTGCATCGGTTTTTGATTTCAATAAACGCTGTTGCCATGGTTACTGAAAATAGAATTTTCTTTGAAATTCTTTTAAAACGCTACTCCTCCTACAGTTTTGGTCTGATTTCAATATTACTTGGTACACAAGTAGACTACACTTAGATACATAAAATAGTGCATCGGTTTTTGATTTCGGTGAACGGTGTTGCCATGGTTACTAAAAATAGAATTTTCTTTGAAATTTCTTGAAAAAGCTACTCCTCCTACAGTTTTGATTTGATTTCAATATTACTTGGCACACAAGTAGACTACACTAAGGTACATAAAATAGTGCATTGGATTTTAATTTCGATGAACGATGTTGCCATGGGTACTCAAAATTGAATTTTCTTTGAAATTCCTTTAAAACGCTAGTCATCCTACAGTTTTGGTCTGATGGCAATGGCTTCTTTTCTCATCCTTTGTTATAAGTACAAACCAGTAGAGCTACAGTCTCGACAGAGACTTCTGGTTGCATATTTACTCTAATAATTTCTCTTATTTTCTCCATTTCTTTTTATGGAAAGAATACTAGTATGTAGATAATTAATTTATTTCCAAACTTTAAAATTGAACCAGATTGCGTGTATACTCACATTAATATATATACAAAGCAAATAATACCAAGTATATGTGTTGCCAATGAAAGGATCAACGGCTCTTCAACCCAACATGTGAGAGCATCACTTCATTAATCGTTCTATTGTCACTGACAGAACAGTTGCAGTTTTCATGTAAAGCGAAGTAACGAAAGCACAAATTGTATCAAATGAAATATATGCTCTCTCTGTCTTTCATATTAATCTTTGCTCTTCAGGCTAACGGAATAATGGGTTCTAAGAGACACATCTTTAATTATTTAGAGACAATTTCATGTGACTTTGAATGTATCGAATAAGACTAAGTCGTAAATGACTGTGCTATCCTCCTGGTACAATATATTCCGTACGTGATTTATAAAATGTCATATATTATTAATAATCTGGAACTGTGGGACTGAGAAACACGTGATCAGGGGCATCAGTGTTCACCCCTCCCCCATTTTATACTTCTTGAGCGTCTTTATTACTCTATAATGTTGTTTTAATATTTTATTCAATATATACATGTATGTTATTATTTTATACTGATGGGCGGCGCTGTCTAAAGTTACATTCTGAATTTAAAAAAATACGAATTTAGAACAATCTTGATATTTGTAATTAAGATTTTTAAATTTAAGACAGACATATTAACTTCATTAGAGGGTGGGTAATACTGGCGTCGACTAAATGATTATCGGAAATTGTGAAATAAGCGTAAAGAGGACTCTATGAAAATTAACTAAATTCTGAAAAAAGTGCAAAAAGATAAAGAGCGTCCATTTAATAGCCACCAAATTGATTTAGGTTAGTGATAAGACCGCAGTTAATTTGATATCATTAAAATTCCCGACATGCAATTGATCTCTTACCCGACTCCCGAGGTGATAGTTCACTGACTGAAGGCGAGTGTGTGTCTGGTTCAAAAGTGTTAAATGTGTATTTTTTACCACAGACTGTCCCCGCTAAACGACACTTCCGCTCCTCCTGTATGTAACTGTTACCACAAATTTTGTGTTCTTTACACTTGCGAAATCTCCTTTTGCGACAGGAGCGAGTGCAATGCCCCCATTGCGACCATCCATCATACAGTAAATCGTATAAAAGTTCCTCTATTAACCTGTTTCCACGGCGGAATCCTATCACTTTATAAGATAATGTGGAGCATCTTCCTTTCCGTCTTTTGCAATTTTGCTTTTCCTTGAGAACGCTAGTCCCGCAGTTTTCTGGCTGGTTGCATCGTCTTACTCGCGTCTGCTCACACTTCCGGTTGCAACGCGTCCAATCTGACCACTTCGTGTAGTACTCACACAGAATCCTATTTTCATGGTCTTTTGAAAGTATTCCTGTTTTTGAGGAAAGGCCGTGTGTCGAATTTCTTGATTCTAATTTTCTACTCTTTTTCTGTAAAGAAAAATTCAAATATATTCTTTTGCTGGATCATTGTCATAAACATCGTTACAACCATCTTAAATTTAACTTAAGCGCACTAATGTTTTGATATTAATATTGCCTGATTTAAATTCATAATATTAATTCAAAGTTCGGTATATATGTATATCTCTTTCATTATTTTTCAAATCGGGTGTATACAGATTTGCATAAATAACGCGCAACACATGATGAACACTTTTATGGAAAAGAAAAGGTTTTAATATTTTAATTTATTGTATAGATGTTTTTATTCATAATATAATTTATTGTAATTTTCACACCTTACATTTAATTTTGATTCAAGGAAAATAATAAAAAAAAAAATTACGAGACAATTAGTCGATGACAATAAAATGGATGCCAGCGCGAATAAAACGTGATTTGCTTTAATCTCACACTTTTCAAAAACTTTCCTAAGTGTGTTGTCTAAATTAGAAATAATACAAACAAGTTCCCAGATTTATTGGGGCCAAATAGTAAAATCAACCCCCTTAAGTCTAAGGTTTGTGAAAGAATGCTCAAAGTCAAATGTAGCATACTTTGGTGACACATAGAAGCTCTCTAACAAAGATTTGTAAAGAGGGATTTAGAGTGACTTTCCACCTTAACAGAAAATAATTACCTTCATTTTCTTTCCTTGTACCTTTAACTTAAGGGTATGAATGTATGAATCGCACGGACTTAAACACTCTCAGGGTAAAAATTAGATTATTTGACGATATCACCTCGGGTTCGTTTAGGGCAGGGCAATCACACAAATCTGTAGATTGAAGGGTCCTATATACACTGGCGGAACATAAGAATAAACTGATACTAAAAGATGCTGCCTTTCTGTTGGGGTATTTAATATATTGGCGATTTAGGGTAATGCTAAATGCTTGCTTTTATCCGTTAGATTGGGTTACTGTAATAATGAACGTGGCGTTACCCGTTAAAATATGTTGCCCCAAGGGTAGATCTCTTATCCCATTCTGATGTCAAAGATTTCTCATCCATAGCTTTGTGAGAAAAGCCGCGCCGCAAAAACAGGTGTCCCGATATCTATTGTATCAATCTTATACAAATGCTTTCTCCTAGATTTTCTGTTAAAAATTTATATATGACCGATTTTCTGTAGAAATGCCACCAACTGCATGAAACAAATGCTAAAAGTAAACACTTTTTTGAAGGTAATCATTACAAAGTCGACCTTCAACTGTATTCCAGAAACGACTTCTTGAAACAGCCGTATTTCCTAAACGAATTTCCTCGTCTGGAGAACACCTGAGGTGGCTTGGTAAACACTCAGGGGCCTGTACAACGTTTATATCAGACGTACACATGCTTGTTTATATTAATATGCTGTCTGTTTGTTCACCAAAGTATCAATGAAGACCGAGGATTCCACTTTTTAACTCTGAAATTTATTTCTTGTTGCACTTACTTTGCCTGCTCTAGTTATGTCTCTTTGAATTGTGTCGGATAAACAGAGACATCCATTCTGCTTTTGTTTTTTGAATACTTAGCGCAGAGAAAAGAGAACAAAATTATGCCAAACTTGTGTCATGTTAAGATTTCCCCAAAGCCATTACTTATTTAACTCATCCTGATGCCCATCCTTGTACGAAGGGAAAACAGAGATTGTGTAGACAAAATAATAAAAATAGAAAAGAATTACTCGAATTAGAAAAAAGATAAACGCTGCTTTCAGCATGCATTATTTAACAAGGGTCATTGCAAGCGGAAATAAGGCTTCGAATGGTACTGCAAGCGTGTTACTTTTCATCCTAATTTAATTTACTACGTTTAGAATTGAAAGCATTATTGCAATTTATTGCTTAGTTCATTTTTTACTATCCTGGTCATTGTGTTCACTCTGTTGTGAAAAATTGAAGAAAACAGCTATAACATGTAGTTATTTATATAAAATAAAATTAAAACATACCTTTTTCCCGTTCACCATTGACAATTCCGACGTGAAAACAACAATCATAAAAACTATAGAGACAGAGAGGATCCTGGTCATTTTCACGCTATATCAACAAATATGTTCAAAGAAGTCTAAGAAATGGAATTTTCAGTCAAAGTCGTACACATCCTGATTAATATTCAAAACCTGAATTACTTTAATATAGAAACAAGCATAGAGGGAGTTTTCTCTGAGCGAGTAACCAATATAACTATCCTGCAGGTCTAAATTTTCATAAAGTGCGCCGTGCCAGCACGTGCGTCGCACGCCGACCATGTGACGTCGTCAGTTCAAACTTCTACAGTTGTTATAAAAAGCCCATTCACACCGAAGAACATGCCAGATGGAAATAATTTTTTTTCTCACTCTTCATGATGATAGCTTGACTTGGTTCCATACTAATAATTATGATATATCACAAACATTCCCAAATTAACTTCATCCGGAATTCAATACAAAAATATTTGCTATATGTTCTCTCGGGCTTTGACATTAATAATAAACGCTGCACAATTTTTCGGCACGCTAAGAAGCTGTTGGTTGTTTACGTTATAGCAGAAGACAAGAAGTCTTCTTTACTCTGCGTCTGATAAGTGTCTTCAATGAGTGTTCCGCGTTATGCCGCCCCTGGCTGGACAGTACCGATGGAGGTGTGTCCACCTGCTGAACTGAGCGACTCAGGCGCGCAAAAAGTCGCCGGGTATACAGAAAAATTCACCTGCGAATGATTTTCACATCAATATGACACTCGCATTGCTAACTTTAAATTTGTCAATAAGTTCTCCTTCAGGAGATAACCAGTCATTTGATGTGTACGAATAATCAGGCTTTATCCATGAAAATTTAATTGAAATAGTGATATATTTCTCTAGGCTATATTATGTGATACTCGGATGTATTTATAAAAAAATAATCGCTTTTGCAGGGTGTCAAAGTTTAATACAATAACACAGATTATTCCACAAGGTGTCAGTCCCTATCATTGTAATACATGAAAGTATTTTGTAGGCTGGATGTGGAAGAGAAATATAATCATTGGTAGAATGGTAACAATGTATAATAGGAATAATGTAGGTCATGCATGTCTAGATGCTGATTTTAAGCGATATCAATTTTCTTTAAATTTAATTTACGAATTACATGTATTAGATATAACTTTTGAAAACATATCTATTCTTATTTTAAAATTACGTACTCTCGAACATACGTACCTCATAAAAATTGTATTGTGCTCAGAAAGGTGTTTTTAAATGAATTAAAGCATAAGTAAAACTTTGATATCTATTAAAAAAATCACAATTTACTGAAAATTCGTTCACCCTTATTTAACAATCTTTAAAAATATTTCTTTGGAGTATACATGCAGATACCGGTATGCACCCTTTATAACCATCAATAAGCTTGTCTCTATTTTGGGATTGTCCCAATTAAGAAACATCAACAGGACGTTAAATGGTTGTTCGGTTAAGTAGTTTAAATTTTCAAATTGAAAAAGGAAATCTCTTGATTAACACTAAATTTAGATCAGGAAAAATGTTGAAGATCAGCAATTATGTTTTTGTTATTCGGTTAAGAGGTTTGCATTAAATTTAAATGGGAAACCAGATTTAACCTTAAAACTTTTGTAAAATCTCCATATTTACAAAGTGCTACAAGAGAACAAGATGGGTGGGATTTTGATTTATACAGGCTCCCAAATGCTACTAAACACTGATGTTCACAAAAAGAAACTGAATATTGAAACACAAGTAAATTGTATTTATATAACAGAATTCATAAAGGAAGCCATAAACAGGCCCCTATCTCTTGTTCTTCGCTTAAATGAGAAGTGTTGATACTTCATATGCCAAAACTGTTCAACAGTTGATGAAAGGTCGCAAAGTTCGATAACATTTCTAATATTTATGGGAGCCTGGGGTAAGATATTTCCTTTTGTTTAGTGTAGGTCAATCTTCGTGCATTCTTGTTACATATAAGCAATTATCATCTCAGTTTAGCAAATATCTATATAAAATAAAACCCCACCGTATCATAGATCGTCTACGAAAATAACATGTCTGATCACAGCCGGATTATAAAGCTGGGCAATAAATGTCCTGTTATTTCAGGAAGATTCGTAGACTCGTTGTCACGACACTCAGCCAACGACAGATTTAGTTTCAAAGCTTGTTCAGAAGACTGCAAGGATTCCTTTACAACTGTATTCGATTATCATACTCCAAAGTCATGAACTACTTTGATAAAGTTATATCAACTTTATATGCTAGCGCACGTGTTGAATTAAATCTAGTTTCTTAAAGTTGGATATTATGTTAAATATTGGCGCTTTTATCAAATTAATTTACATGATCTAAGACTTAATTGATTTAAATTCAAGTGTTGAAAATTAAATGATATCGAAGGGTGAAAAGACGAATACAATTTTAAAGATAAAAAAAGACCATAAGTTTTTTTGTCTGCAGTGCAAGTAATTAACACAAACACAAACAAACCTTTTTTCAGAAATCAGCAATATTTCTCATATATTTACATTTAAATTGGTAACTTGAATAATGTTTACCATGTACAGTGGGAAAATTTTATAAGATTTTGTCATAAGGTTAAAAATATGTGCAAAATTTTGTATGGAATTATATAGAAAGCAAGGCCAATCTCATATCTAAGCACCGAGGAAAACCTACGATTTCTTTATATTTCAGGGATCTATTATTTTTGTCATTTCAAATCAAAATTAGTCGAAAATATATATCAATCCATGCATCAATTTTTTGTTTGTGTTAATTTCCCTTAATGCAAACCTAATTGAATAGGTACATGTATAGGCAAACAAATACAAGGGCACCGAAAAGGAGAACATTCCCTCGATAAGATCAAGAGCGCATGCAACATCGATCCCGATCCAAATCATCTGTCCAAATTACGTCATTTCCGTTTCGCGCAAGGACAAACTGACGCAGACGCGTGTTACAATATCCGCTCCAATTCCATTGCGAGGGTATAACAACACTACTACCGGTATTTTAGCGAAATTCAACGCAGTGCAGAAAATGTGTTTTACATGTAAACAGTTTACTATAAAGAATGCATCTGTCCTGTTTTCTTTCGATATTTTAACAACTTAATATCATTGGGGTTTTTTGTTGTGTTTTTTGTTTTTGTTTTTTTTTTTACAAATAAATTTATGCTTGATAAAAACATCGGTGTTACCTATCAATTTATTTATTTTCTCAAATCTGTATTTAAGAAAACTCACATATTCAAAATTGAAAAAGAAAAGAAATACATTTTTTGGTATGGCATGTAAATAGAAAGAATTTGAAGAATGAAAAATTCAGTTTCATTATAAAGAATGGCAATAATAAGCAAGGTCTATGATCAAGTAGAAATTTTATTCATGGGAGAATTTTCTCCTGTTGAGATTCTGGTAAAATACGAGCGTGGGAGATAGTCATATGACACTGGCATGATATACTAGTAATGTTATAATTAAACCATATGAATATTACCCCATTACCTACCAGCAAATGTACTTCCGTTGTATAAAATATTTATCATGGGAACGGAAGATCAGAGTAATTAAAAAAAAACGAAGTCTATATGTTATTCAAAACAATAATTCTAGTTATTATTCGAGAAAAGTTAGTAGAATATATCTCTAAAGAAACCTCTTATTAATTAAACCACTGCTGAAAATTAGGCAAAACTAAATATATATCTAAGTTTATTAGATGCATGTATTTATTAATTCAGCTTGTTAAATTTAATTCAAAAGGGATAAAATATGTTTGAGTATTAATAAAACTTTGGGAAATATGCCCCATTCGTCTCTTTTTTTTAATTATCAAAAGCTCTCAACGAATTTAAAAAGAATAAAAATTAACCATTGGTATGACGTGTTTGTATTTATAAACTAAGGACATCTGTTTACTTCAGGATAGTGTATAGTTTTAAAATGATGGTTTTATTAAATCCTATAATCTCGGGTAAATTTTAATGTCTCCATAAATCTCTCAATTAACTATAACCAAGATCATTATACTTTGTAAACATCGCAATGCATCACTCGAAGTCAATGGCCGGAATAATACGGAGACTTTGATTCTGGTTCCAGAACGACTTGTGGCACGCGAACGTTCATTCATAAAACATGTACTCACTTCTCAAAACCCTACCGTGTTTACTGGAGCAGAACGATTCTGTTTTCCTTAATCCGTGACTAAAGTTTGAGAAACAAATATTAATTTGGTGTAAATAAAAATATATTTATTTATCACTTCTCTAATTGCATAGGGTAGTCTCTTAACTTACGAAATTACACGCAATACGGAAAACAAAATGTATTCGACACAAAAGCAAAATTCCCAGATACCGATATTAGATTTGCGACAAACTGAAAATATTTAAAGCTACATAGGTAGATGCGTGAGTCTGGTCTATGTATCGTTGTGTTTAAACGTACAACTTTATTAATGAAATGGTTTCCATTAGCTTTGTAGTCTATGAGAGGCCTCCGTGGGATTAGGGCAGCTTTTGAGGTTTGAACTTGCTGAATTAGCAGTAAATTAACACTCAAGTCGTGGGAGGATTGAATGTTACTAACGACGATTTATTGTGTTGTATTGTTTTGCGTATGGCAGTCTTATCTATTTTTATTGGCTAATTAATACGTCTGAACACAAGCCTATCTCATAACAAACTATCAAAGCAAGTAAATTTGCTAAAATTTAGAATTTTAACATATCTCTTATAATGACAGACAATAACATGGTTTTAATTTTAATTTACCTTTGATGTTTTTTTATGGTACTGCCATGTCTGAAGCTTTTTAAAAACTCTGTCAATGTTTTAGCCCTATTTTAGTTACTAAGTCTGCTTTGATACCAGAGAAAAGTGGATCTGTATGGAAAATATGGACTATTTTAGAAATATCTTATCAATTTTACTCAATTTAATAAAGCTTTGTTTTCATTAAGCGCTCGTCAAGGCCGGGGTGACAGGAGTGACGTAAAAGATGACGAAACAATGCTCCATTCCAATCTTTAGGAAGTTCTCGGTTAATCAAAGGCTGGATTAGATATGCGAAATTAGTAGAGTTATCAGAATAGTCAACATTATGAGATTGAAAGTGCTTTTAATCTTGATAAAATAAATGATAGGAAAAAAGAGAGTTAGTTCAAATTTTGCACATTCGTCATTAAAGAGATTTTCTTTTATGAAAAAAGAAATGCAATTGTATTTTACATCTTAGATTCTAACCCAGATGGAGTACCTATAGAGTTCCGTCGTAAAAATTAATTTGCAATTTAAAGGTCGAGGGTCCTGATGCATCTTTGTTTTTAAGAATGGTACTTGGTTTATGTTTTCCTCAGACTTTTTCGCGAAATTAATTTAAAACAATTTTTATAAAAAAAGCAACAAAAAATCGACCAAGTGCCAGAATTCTGATTTCATGGCATGTTATTCTCCTTTCCGTGCATCTATTGTTTTTCTGTAAGGATGTGGGGCAGCAATAAAAAAGCAAGTATTGAGTTCTCTTAGCAGGTTAGCCTACTTCATCTGATATAAAGAGCAGTAAATTATTG